CTATTTTTGTGTGAAAATTTTCGATTTTGTATTTTACATTTTTAACTTTATTATGCTATAACTTTTTGAAAAATGTATGGATCAGTACAATTTTTTTATGAGAAGTAGTATTTATATAGATCTTTCATTCGACATACTGTTTTTTTAAATCGGACCATTTCCCTAAATACAGGGGGGATTCAAAACATAAAAATGCATATAGAAAGTAGAACTTTTTCAACGTAACTTTTGAAAGTGTTCCGGAAGGTCTGACACTTTTATATATATCTTAAATTAAAGCTAATGTAATATACTTTATAATGGTAAAAAAAAATTTCGGACTTTATTTTATCTTCATGGTGAAAACAGACATTAAACTTAATAAAAAAAATACGATTTTTGTAAAAAAATTCTTTTTTATATTTTTAACTTTATAATGCTATAACTTCTCGAAAGATGTATGGATCAATATAATTCTTTTTTTTGTAGATGCATGATGTCTTTACCTATCATTTGGTATATTTTTTTTATAAATCTGACTTTTTACCTGCCTACAGGGGGGGATTCAAAATGACAACTTTTTCACAAAAAATTGACTTTTTCAACTTAAATTTTGAAAGTGTTCCGGAAAGTCTGACACTTTTATATATATCTTAAATTAAAGCTAATGTAATATACTTTATCATGGAAAAAAAAAATTTCGGACTTTATTTTATCTTCAAGGTGAAAATGGCTACCAAATGCTATTATTGTGTGAAAATTCTCAATTTTATTTTTTACATTTTTAACATTATAATGCTATAACTTATTGAAAAGTGTATTGATCAATATAATTTTTTTATGGGAAATACTATTTTCTAATAATCTCTTTTTTATTCTACATACTTTGTCTTAATCAGGATATTAATAAGGAACTAGCAGTTTATGAAGCTTTTGGAATAATCCACCAATTTTTTAAAATTAAACACTATCTAAAGATTTGCATCGAAGCGTTTTTTTTTTATAGTGATTTTAATCACTGTCAGATATCATTATACTTGATCCATCTATACCACGTCACCACTGTGCCGCGACCCCCCTGTGCTGGGTTTTTTTTGTTTATTACGTTTCTTAAATAAAATAACTATTTAAAAACCTGCACTTAGCTTAAATATTTTATATTCTGTTAAAAATATGTGCGTGTGTGTGTGTGCAGCAAGAGTCAAGGTTGGACTGCTGGTCCTTTGTCAATCTTAATAATTAGTGTGCGTGCTTGCTAGTTTTAATTAGCATCAATAAGGTGATCCGTCTATCACTACAATACAAGGATTACTTGAAACAGTTAGACGGAATACACAAGGTTAGTGCATATATATATATATATGGTTAAATTTTGTGATTTAACAATCTCCCCAGAGAGAGAAAAGTTTGTGTGTGTGTGTATAATTTCTCAATTTTCTTATATGTTTATAGTATGAGTAATATTGAGGACATAGAGACATTAAAAAAAAAAATTAGGGATACTAATTATAATATTAAAAGATAATACTAATTCAGAATTAGACACATTTACTTTTGACATAATATTTTAGACAACAGAATATCACAATTGACTGACCTATTTAATGAACTGACCACACATCAAAAAACAATTTATACATTTTTAAAAGATCTAAGTTTTAATTTTATTTAATTACTGTTTTATAACTATACAAATGTTTTTTTATTAACATCTATATTTGTTTAATGATAATAAAAAACGCTATAAATCTCTAAGTAAGTCATTCTGTAGCTTGTTACAGTTATTAACAGAATTAACTTACAAGAAAAGCTTCATATCATTAGCAAAATACAAAAATTTTTAGTTATAATAATATTGAAACGATAAGTAATATTTTATTTTTGTATTAAGGCACCACTGTATTTATTTTGTTATTATTGTTGCTGTTAATAAAACCTGATGCTTCGGTCAGTCCATTACGAACCATTGATGTTATCTGTTTCTGTTAGCTTCCTCTTAACTTTAGTTCGATTTTACAAATAATTTATTGTGTGGCGACGCAACGTCACCCCTTTAAAT